TAATGCAATAAACATGTGAACATTCCTTGTTCAGGATTCGAATATATTTAGGATTTACCAAAGGTTTTCAAAACATCAAATAAAAATATATAAAGAAAGATCTATGTTTAGCTTTATTTTATTAAATCTTCAAAATAGTCACCATTATTATTTATACAAAGTTCCATTCTTTCTAATAGTTTGTAAAAAGTTTTTTTAAACTCTTTTTCTGGAATATTGTTCACTATCTCGCAAACCACCCAAGCTAGCGATTCTTCGTTTTCTTGGTCAGGCTGATTACATCAAGATTAACTTGGCTGACCAGGTCAGCCAAGTTAATCTTGATGTAATCATTGAGCCAAAAGTCACAGGGTGCAAGATCAGGTGAGTATAGTGGATGTCGTATTATTTCAATACCTTCTTCTGTTAAATAGTCAATAACATCCCGATGAATATGAGGACGACCATTATCGTGAAGCGATTTGATGCATTTTGTGCGTGATGATTTTTCTTGTTTTCGTATTTCATTAATAACAGGTTTGAGACAATTTTCAATGTAATAGTTATGATCGATAGTCTTGCCTTTATCAACTTTGTGTATAAGAACAGGACCATTTGATTTAAAGAATAAAGAAAACAATATTTTGAGCTCAGATCTATTTCGACGAACAATGGCCCTTGGTGGTTCATTTTCGCTAATCCATGTAGCATTACTTGACTTTCGACCAATCTGTCTATGATAAATCCATGTCTCATCACCAGTAATGACATCAGATAATCTCCATTTCCCAGTCTGAATTTTTGCTAGATTTTGACGACAAACTCTAAGTCGTTGTTGCTTTTGTTCATCACTGAGTTTGTGAGCAACCCAACGTGATGTAACTTTTCTCATCTTTAAACAGTCATGAATGATCCGTTCTATTGTACCATGGGAGAGGGAAGTTGAATGCGAATCATCTTCGATAACTTGTCGAACTTGTTCGATATTTTCATCTGTACCGAAATCGGACGACCAGATTGAAAGTCACCATTGACATCCTCTCTCCCTTCACGAAAACGTTTCGCCCATTTTGCAACAGTTGAATATGCTGGAGCATCAGGTCCCAATGCTGTTGTAAGTTCTTCGCAAATTGTCTTTGCATCTATTTCCAGAATTGTCCAAATTTTAATATATTATCGATTAAATTCACCGGTCATTTTAATGATTTAAAAAAAATTCAAATCAGATTTTGTCACAGGTTCAGGATGACTGATATTTGATACAAAGTATCGATCGGAAATGCTGATTTATTCACACGAAAAAAGTAAGCGAATCGAATGAACTAACTCAATAAATGATTTTGCACTCAATATATACTGTTACATGTAATATTTAAGTGCATATGATGTCAGAAAATATCATATGAGGGAGGAAAGAAAAAATGCGAAATTCAGAAATATACTCAAATCCCGGACAAGGAATGTTCGTATATTCACAGTGCTATAGACTTTATCTAAAAGACTGTTAGAATTATAGACGAGACATTTTACTAAGTATTCATGCAATAAATCTTTCGATGTTAAGTATTTTATAAAAATTTAAACATCGTTCTATCATCTTTTGGTCAGCCCTAAGTATTTAGAAGTTAAAAATCTAGATCTGATTTTCATGGGAGAATGTATCCAAGGTGTCTTGACCAAACATCCACGATGTCTTACGAAGACACTATGGGTGCATAAACCTGGAATTCAGGCACGTTCGTGAGACATCGTGACGTGTCTTTTACGTGGAAATCTTTTCTTACTGATTAAAAATGAGGTTGCTTTAATGCACTTCAGGTGCATTTTTAATAAAAATCCACCTCGTTTTTCACAGTGTAGGGATGCAATGTTTTTACCAGCACTCAAATTCCCACATGCACTGTTTGATGCGATGGCTTTTTCGAACTTTTCACAAATTATAAAACCAAAACTGTGACGTTTTGAGAGACACTTCTAGCAGATCCTTTCAACTAAAGAATATGTGATAAATACATAATAATCGTTCTGTACGAGGGAAAAAGTTAAAATGATTACATAAACATGTGTTTACCGCCAATCATGCGCTTCGATTTACATAAAATTCGAGCAAACCTCTAATAAAAAAAAATTTCTTCTTTCTCTTATATTCACATAGCGTACAAAAACACATATTCCTCACAAACACACACACACTAGTGAACTATAAACTGATTCGAAATGGTTAATTCGATCAAGTTAATTTCACACTATATAAGAAATGGATTCTATGTCACAAATAAGACTGATCAACAATCTTACTCTACTTTTTTTAATTTCTTACTTTACTAAACGAATGACAGGGACGTATTTACTAATAATTCTGGTCACGAACATTAGATTTTTGCTAAGTCTTTAGTAATCCTCGCTGCTCATGGTGACTATTTTAATGGAAAAATCATTTGATCTGCAATTCAATCACTTACAATATATTGATTTTTAACAACTGATGCTTGAATAACGTAACATGCCATCAGTTACTATCTTGAATAATTTACATTGATAGAAATTTATAATTGATACTATTATTCATACATAAATCCCATTGAAGTATTATCTTGAACAATGTCGCACGTTGTTGTTTTATTATACTCTTCCTTTTATTTAATCGTTTAAAATGTCTGTATATATAGTAGAGACTAACCGTCAACAACTCTCATTCAACATAAACATACTATCTCTTTTCAGCTCAATTTCCTCTCCGTTTTCATTTCTTATTTTTTTTTATCGAGTAGACAAATCATCATTACCCACTAAACATTTTTTTTCTGTAATGAACAACTGTAGCTTTTTTATTTTCAACAAGCTAAGAATGAAAAAGAGAAAAAAAACAGACAGAATATTTCTATTCTTCTTCTACACTTTAAATAATAATAATTTCAAAGAAAATGCAGGTTAATAATAGGATATGGAATTCCTATAATTTTTCTATTTAGATTCTTTCTTTTTTCTTCTTTTCTTACTTGCTTTATTGACGTCTTTTCACGAAACATTTTATTATCAATGATGAACATTGTAACATTTGCTTGGATGAACTAATTGATTTTTTATGAATATTTTCATTTCATATCGCCATATTAACGGGTGTACCATGAGGAATTAAACTCTCCGTATTTTCTATTTTTCTTTTGTTCCTTTAGGTCCCTAGGATTAATGTTTTTTTTAAAGATGCGCCGTGAAAGTCTTCGGTAGAACATGTATGAAGTTTTCGTTTATGATTAACACAACAAAATCTAGACGACAAACTTTGAAAGTCGCCAAAGCGGCCAACTTTGTAACTTAAAAACGGGTTTCCTTCATTCAGTTTTTGTTGCAATTGAAACACTAAACTAACCACCTTGTAGCTCGTCAAAAACTCTATCTTTTAGCTATACTGTAAATATTTTGACATCAAAACTCATCGCTGAATAGAAGTTATTCTTCAATTTTTAGGCACCTTTTCCGTCAAAAATTTTGCTGTACTTAAACGTTTTCATCCTCCGTATTTCTTTCTTCCCATAAAACTCTTATAAATCGGCCAAAAATGCAGCTTTTGGGTTTAGATTTGATTTGTTTTATTCAAAAATGATTACTCTATCTAAGCGCATAGCCGAAATGCGCATACATTTCGAATTCCTACAGTGCAGCAGGAAACAGGAAAAATTTGTGTTGATCATACACCAAAACTACATACATGTTCTAAAACTCAAGCATCTTTACAAAGAAAACATTAATCCTAGGAACCTAAAGGAACAAGAGAAAAATAGAAAATACGGAGAGTATCATTCATCATGGTACACCCGTTACGTGTCAATTTTATGAAAAAAACATGTACTGGAAAAAGAGAACAAAAGATTGTTAGCAGTGCTGATACATTCGATTTGAAATCAATTAATTATATTAGCACAAATTAAAGTGCCGAATGAAAAATTCCATTTACACGAATTTATTTGTTTTTACTAAATTCTTAAGCACACGTCTTTATTAGAACTGCTCAAATAGTCTAACATGCAATGAGAAATCAGTCTATATTTGTTGATAATCAACCAGACTCTATATTAGACTGCTTTTTCCCCACTGAGTAAATTATGTTCTATGAAAAAAGAGGATTTTTTTCGACTAAATATAAATAAAATGCTCACGGACTTAACACATTCTAATTTTTGACGTCAGATATTAAAAGACAAGTCTCACCAGTATTTCTTTGAAGAAACTCGTTCTTCTATTGCAAAAAAAGGTCACTGGACGTCAAAAATCTCAGTTTTACTCTATAATGAAAATGTGTTTTCTAATCTTTCACATATAAAGTATATCTGTCACGTTGAAATGTACTCATATAGCTAAGTAAATGAGAAAAACAGATTTACTTTCGGTTACTCTCATCTTATTTATAAAAAAATTATTAATTCTCTTCCATTATTAAAGGGTTAATAAATAATAGTTTATACAAGAAAGATTTTAAATTT